TCTAGAAATAAGAGGCATCACATTGGCGTAAAGGAAGAGAAAGGTAACATCAGAGAATCAATCATACACTTTGCTCCTGGCTCAGAGTAAGAAGGCAAACACTTAATGTTATGAGTTCACATCTGGAGGCCTCTCTGAGCACACCAGGCACATGGTGCCCACGATCCAGGCTACCTTTAGGCTGGGGGTAGAGTCCTGCGTTATGACCTTTGGGGATGCTGTGTCTCTATCTCTCTGTGTTACTCACTCATGGAAGAAATAAATACATAAACTTTCAAGAATATTAATTTTTAAAGTGTGTTAAACACAGAATGAGTAAATGAAGACATTTCTGCTAGATCACTACCAGATCTGAACCTACAATTATCTATTGAATTTCAGTGACAAACTATCTCCTCTTTAAATATAATATTACATTCACTTTTCATTTTGCAAGAGAAAAATATTAGATGACAAATGTAACTCCATCCCCCATTCTTCTTCAGCAGTACTTGAAGTATTAATAAATATGCATCAGAAGCCAGCTTCAAATTAAATTTGAAGCAGCAAGTTAGAATCAAACACCTTGGATTCAGTACTACCTCTGTATGTTGTGTAACCCAGGAAAAAACACTTACCAACCTCCTTTTTAATTACATAAATAAGGGATAATAATAATATTACTGCTATCTACTTCAATGGGTTTAGGTGACTATTAATCACGATCGGGTTTATGAAAGCTGACTAAAAAGTGTACGACTGTAAAATATTATTATTGCTGGTAGCTAAAATAACCATCTCTCTCATTAAACTAAATTGCAAGAACAACTTACATTTTGTGCTTCAGAAATGTGGTAGTAGGAATAGTCATTATTAACTGAAGGTTGGCCAGTTGGAGGGAGTTGAGCTGAAGGTGGAGCATGAGCAAAACCCATCAAATGACTATTCTTCTGGAAATTTGTGGCCACTGTTGGCTGACTAGCTTTAGAAGACTCTTGTAGATAACCTTCCTGTTCGACCTTCCGACGCATTGTAGAATTCCAGTGGTTCTTGATAGCATTATCAGTTCTGCACAGAAATACATCACATAAAAATTTACAAACAAAAATTTCAATTCAGATTAGAGTTAACTGACAGAAAACTGTTTCCACAGAGATCTTTTCTTTGGGTCCACAGATAGTTGTTTTCTCTTTTTCATTGTTTCAGTTTTCTCCACTACCAAAGCTTTACTTATTGCCTAATATAAAATGTATAGATTTCTCTTAAGGAATCTGCAATATATATCATTTCTGTAAGTGCTGGTTTCTTTTAACCATTTTACTTCCTTGGTAATGGAGTATTTTTAATGCAATAACTCTTCAGGTTGATTCTGATTGTTTGTGGTACAAGGTTCTAATACAACTCAAAGTTCTAGCTCTCCCAGAACAATTACTCCTTTGAGTAAGGCTCAGCAGGGCCTACACACCACAGCGGGGACTTCATAAATGAATGATAATGATGCTGCCTCAGTGTCCACTCTTTATCTCTTGTACCACTAGCAAGAAATTGTGAGTAAAAGAACAAAGATTTTCCATCTTTTTTTTTTTTGAGAGGTTTGTGCTATAGGGCATGTGTGCTCACCAGAAAGAGAGACAAAGAGACAGAAAGCAAGAAATCACCCCCCAGGGGGGATGGCCACACCACAATCCCTTCTCCTCCATTCTCCTCTCAGGGTCTTGGGCACGCATGCACTTGCGCCCAGTGTGAGTTTAAGCCACTGGATCTGGGACTTGAACCGTGGTTGACTACATGAGAGTTCAGCGACATAGCCATTATGCCAACTGCTGATCCCAACATTTTCCATCTTTTTTTTTTTTTTTTTGGAGAGATTTTTGCTATAGGGCGCGTGTGCTCGCCAGACAGACAGAGACATAGAGACAGAAAGTGAGAAATCACCCCCCAGGGAGGATGGTCACGCCACAATCTCTTCTTCTCCATTTTCCTCTTGGGATTTTGGGCACACACGCACACGTGCCCGGCAACATTTCCCATCTTTTGAAAGCCACTCTAATTGTTCTCATAAGTAGACAGAGGTGAGAGTAGAAAATGGGATATCAAAGGGAAAGATGTTAATCTCCAGTATATTTTCAAACTGCACTGAATTTTTACTGAAGTCTTTCCATTCTCAGGAAAACCGTTTCTCAATTCAAAAAAAAAAACGTTTTAAGCCTCTCTATTACTATTTCGATGGGGGTGGGGGAATGCATGCTAAAGAAAGAGGAAGTTAATCACCTCTTTAATTTTTAGAAGAATTAACAGTATATCCTCTCAGACCACATAGGAGAAAAGGCCTCCTTTTACCCGCCCCTTGAATTTTCCGAGCTTATACTGAACCATAAGGGAGGAAGTGCTTTGAAGCATCACAAAAGAATACTATATAAACCATCTTTGCAATGACCTTTACTCCTGGTTTATGAAGTTCAAGAATTAAGTACTTTTAATATTTTATATCTCACATTATTTTTATGTAATAAAATATTTTTTCCAAAGTAAAAAAGTAAAATTGTTTTTTACTATTTAAGTAAGGAAAGTGGGACAAAAAGAGCTTCCATAGTTAACGCTCATCATATGGTCATTTTCTTGCCTTGTTAATTAAAAAGAAAGCATTACACTGACATTATTTTAAAATATCTAAAAATACACTATTTCTTAATTCAAAGACAAATATTGGACCAGCTCTGGGGTGCAGAGAGAGCATGCTGCTTGGAAGAAGCTGGATCCCACATGGTGACAGTGTCCAACTCCTGACCTGGCCAGCCTGAAGCAAACTGGGTTCACGCACAAGTGTCCAGGATCCAATGGGCTGGGAAACTGGATGAAGGGGATCACAGC